GCTCAAGTGGTAGAGTGCTAGCCTTGAGCTGAAGAGCTGAGGGACAGCGCCCAGGCCCAGAGTTCAGGCCCCACGACCGGACCCAAAAAAAAAATGATACATAATAAAGAGGAGATGATGTGGCATGAAGGGGATGGGGGTGATGAGAAGGAGAGGTTACCACAGGACAAAGTGGAAGAGTAAAGTGGAATAAAGATTAGGAGATGACTGTGAGCTGGTGGCTCATACCTGTAATCCTAGCTACTCAGGAGCCTGAGATCTAAGGATCATGGTTCAAAGCCATCCCTGGAAGGGAAGTCCCTGACAATCTTATCTCTAATTAACCACCAGAAAACCAAAAGCACTGCTGTGGATCAAAGTGGTAGAGCACTACCCCTGAACAAAAGAACTCAGGGACAGAGCCCAGGCCCTAAGTTCAAGCCTTATGCCCACCACCACCACCACCAAAACAAAAACAAAAACAAAAACAAAAAACACAGGCAGGGGTGACAGGAGATCAAACATCAAAGTGGTCCTCAAAAAGAAGCTAGGGATAGTATAGCATAAGAGGGGAGGAGTGAGATGGAAGAAAGAGAGGGTGATATAGGATAAAGTGGAGGCATGATTTGGATAAGGAGGAAGGAAGAATCAAGATAAAAGTGATGAGGATGTAGTGAGATAAAGAGGGGTAAGGTAGGGAAAGCAGAATGGAAAATGAATTAGGGAGGACAGGGTGTGTAGAAATGTGAGCAAGACAGTTGAGGTGAAATATAGATATGGAGGCTGGAGCAGTGGAGAAATGAGGAGTCTAAACTATATGGGATTAAGAGGAGTTGGTGATGTAGAATAATTGGAAAGGGTAGAACAGTAATGTGGAACAAAATAGAATCAAATGAGAAGGTCTATCACTGAACAAAGAAAGTAGAAGTGTTAAAATATGATAAATGATGAAGGAGGAATGAAAGAGCAGCAGGGGTAAGGAAAGGAATGCAGCTTAATTGGAAAGCCTATAAAATAAATGAAAAGAGTGCAGAATAAATAGGGGGAAACACCAGACACTCTACTGAGGATTACCATTGGAATGGTAATGAAAAGCAAGAAACATCTGGAGACATATGACTTTAAAAGTAAAAGGAATAGGTGGACACTAGTGATTCAAGCCGATAATCGTAGCTACTCAGGAGGCTGAGATCTGAGGATCATGGTTCAAATCCAGCCTGGGCAGAAAAGTCTGTGAACCTCTTATCTCCAAAAAAGCTGGAAGTGTAGCTGTGGCTCAAGCGACAGACTATTAGCCTTGAGCAACAGAGCTCAGGGACAGTGCCCAGACCCTGAGTTTATGCCACATGACCAAACACACACACACACACACACACACACACACACACACACACACACACAGAGTAAATGAATGACTGCTGTTTGATTGATGGGCTCTCCTACTTTTCAAGAAATTTTATGGTGACATGACATTGTTGGCAACTTCCCACGTGAAGGACAGGGGCTCAGAAAGTGAAATAAGATGTTATGAATTTTTAGAAAATTGGCTATAGTTGATTTTATTGAGTAAAACTTTAGAGACAGCAGATATGTAACATCTGCCTCCTCTTTTATTAAAATTTGTAGTGGTTATAATGATAGTTCACACATACTGAATTACTCCAAAGCATATGGCACCGTGTTAAAAGCTTGACACGCACCATTTCCTTTAGTATACATACTTCCTATAGTTGATACACACTATTGTCAACCTTGCTTTATTCTTAAGAAAAGTGAATAAACTGCCTGATTTTCTGAGCTTGTTAATGGAAAAAATCTTCAATTTTTTAAATATATATATTTTTTATTGTAAACATACTGTACAGAGAGGTTACAGTTACATGAGCAAGGTAATGAGTCCATTTCTTTTCAAGCATTGTTGCCCCCTCCTTTGTGTTTCCCTACCATCCCTTTCCTCCCCACCTCCCCTACTCCTCCCTCCCACTCCCCTGTCCCACAAGGTTGTAAAGTTCATTTTCAACATAGTGTCTTGTATATCTCATTGTTACAATGGATCATCCTGTATCCTTATTTCAACATTTTGTTATTTCCCTTCCCCTCCCCAAATTAGAAAAATGTATATACAA